AACACACCTATGAAGTATTCTATTAGATATAATAATCGTTAGAACTTTCATGACAATAGTCACGATTGCTAGATAGGAATAGCATTCTATTATGAAAATTCCACTACACGATCATCATCGCCCTCAAGTTGAGATTCAAATTTATGCTTTTTTTTTCTTAACTTCATTGAATGATGTAAATGGGCAGCAGCTGATGTACCCTTGAATCGATAGATACTTGAGTGTATGACAAAACTGTCGTTTTAAAAACTTGAACAGTTTGCTTTGGTAATAGAATATTATCGTCGAATCATTTAGGGTGTGGGTATAGGTATGTCTGAAGAGATGGATCTACACTTGTGTGTAAACCCATCGAGATCTATATCGATAGTTGCACATCCACAACTATCCACGCTCACAACAGTGCAGAAGGCAAAAATAGATCAACAAAAATTTAAGATTATTGTAATTTCAAACTCATCTTTTCATGTTCAGACGATGTCTACGCTCTACTCGATGGCAGCAGCAAATTGGATGCTAATGTGATGGATTTGATAGTGTTCAACGTTGATAATCGTGTTGTTAGTGCTGGCACCATTGATAAGATCTTAATAAATTTTTGCACAGCCCCCACTGATTCCGATGCAAAAATTAAAGTATACATCATCAGATCAATATTGAGTGGTAGCGAGCATTTTTTCGTAGAAGAACAAATGAAATCATTCGTCACCAATCTCAGAACATCTGTTGGAATTCAGAAATTGGAAGTTACACCCTTCAAAGTCGAGGAAGGTGATTACGTTGGATTCAAATTTACCAAAAATGCTGGTGGTCCATTCACAATTGAACGTGCCAGCTATTATGTTGAACACAATACTGATGAAAATATCGAAATAGAAGAAATAATGCATTTTACTCTATGTGCCAATCATGGCATCACAGTGACCTTTACTGTGAATCATAACAAAAACAGAGACAAACCAATTGAAAAGAATACGTTTGTTCGCTCGAATATAGAGATGAATAAAATAAACAACGAAGAAAAAGGAGCAACAGCAACTTCGAGCCTTGATAACTTAGCAATATTATCCGACAATAACGAACCATTGATTGTACGTAAAAGGCGAAGATCATCTATCGCTGTTTCTTTTAGACAAGATCTTACCAGTAAGAGAACAATGCCAATAACTCCTAACTACTTATTTTGTTATTCGTTTTGTTAGGGCTGACTCAATTTCAACAGCGTGATAACATGTTACGTGAAAGCACCATTGCTCAAGACTATTGGCAATTTCTCATAGAGAACATCATGAAAGAAGAACGAGAAGAGTCAAGTCGCGGGAAAAAAGCTCGATTCAAACATGAACATGATTCAGGCAAGTTGCAGAAACAAGAAGAAAAATTCATCGAGCTGCTCGAAAAGACTATTAATAAAAACCAAGATAGATCACGAATAAATAGCAATCGCTCATCCTATGATAATGATACTATGCTATGAATATGTCGTTAAATTCTTCAAGTCAATCTTTCTTCTTTATCGAAATTTTCTTTTTGGGTATCAAATGTTATTCCATGAAGCCATCACGCCTTTTTTCATTTTCTTTTTTTCGTAGCTTATTATTTTCTTAACAGTGATCCCTCTAACAAAGTATTCTTTGAAACATATTTTGATGTTATTATAAATTTTTTTATTAAAGTAAAGAATCCATGTCCATCTTTCTAACAAATTTGAACTCTTACATGAACCTAATACAAGTACAATCATCTTTTCAATAGTCGTCTACATCTAGGATGTGAATTGTTCTTTTTCAATCCCCACACTTCACCCACCCTCTATGTTGTGCAGGATTTTATGCATCTGAGCTATGACTATAGTTTTACATTGGCATTTCTACTTTGTGACATTGTTCAAGTCTTTAATCATAATGTAAGTATACAATCATTGATATGCTAAAATATAACTGTACAATGACGAATCAATAAATAGGTGATGAAGGTATTGAAATTTAGTTCAATATTCTTGAATAGAAGTTTTTCAGTCTAGAATTTCGTGAAAGATCAAAAATATTTTGTTTTTCTTTGATATTACATACATGGAGATAATGTTGAGGTAATGTAGATATTGATTCAAATATCAATAGGTTATAGGACTTGAATTTATAATTAAAATCACAAATAATGCAGTTTTTATTTTTTATATTTTATTTCTATTGTTAGGAATTATACATTTATTTGATATATTTTCTTCATATGTATGTATATATATATATATGATCTAGTCTCATTGAATGTCTTATTGTTGAATATAGCACGATGAACATGATGGTGATGAATGATACGTAAATAACATTCATGTAATAGTACTATATATGGCTAATTCTACAGAAAGTCAACCACAAAAAGCAAATCGTATTTAGAAAATTTTCTTTTCCATTAGGTTTTGTAGAGCATTTTTCGCTGTTCATTTTAGTAAAAAAGCTTTTTGAATTTTATTGAGAAAGGACAATTTTATAGTCAAAATACTGCACACTATAAAATAGTTTGAAAAATTATTTTTTCTGATAAATAAGCATTAAAAAATCGATTTGCACATCTTAAAGTGACTATATGCTGGAGAAATGTAACGTAATAGGTTTTTTAGAGGAAAGTTCTTTGTACGAGATCCTGTAGTCGTTTTCTCATTTCTATTCGAATAGTATGAATAAATCTCATTAGGATATTGTATACGATATTTGTATGAAAAACATATGATATATTCTACTTTTACGATAAATATTGTATGTAATGTTCTATCGAGATTTATTTATACTATTCGAATGTAAATGAGAAACCGACTACAGGATCTTGTAGAGCAAAATTTCCTTTAAAAAACCTCTTATGTCATATTTTTCCAAAAGATAATAATTTTGAGATATGTGAATCGATTTTTCATGCTTATTTATGAGAAAGAATATTTCTTAAAGATATTTTATAGTACTTAGTATTTTGACTATACTATTGTCATTTCTCAATAAAATTCAAAAAGTTTTTTTTTACCAAGATGATCAGCGAGAAAACCTTTACAAAATCTGATAGAAAAGAAATGCTAAGCACTTTGTGTTTTTTTTGGTTGATTTCCTATGAAACTATCCTATGAATAGTGAAAACTCTACCTAGAGATCAAGAAATTGATGATTTATTTTCATTTCTTTTGTATACAATTTTGTTAATAAAGCTTTTGAAATATAATTAATGATAATAAAAAGATCGTTCCATAAGTTCAAATATTAGAAAATAAAAAACATAACAGACTGCCATATGTATATAGCGATCGGGGTTGCGGGTGTAGCTTGACAAGAGACACTCCACTCATATCCATACCGTTACTTCTCCGTCCTATATTTTTATTAATTGCACTAGATGAACAATCCATTGGCTGTCATTCGATGATGTTTACCAAGGAGGTATGCAAATTTCCGAGATTATTGATCATTACGTCGTCGAATAAAAGAATCCAAAATTTCGCTATCGCACACAGATTGTTTTCATAAGTGTGCCGATAATAAGGTCATGACCTATGTGCATTATGTATCGGATCATCGATATGAGAGCATTCGATCACTATACCGCTTGACGTTCTGACCTCGTGACCGATAATAGCTGCCTACTTACTCTGTTCTCATTTTTCTCTTCTTCTTGTTCCCTCTCTCATATATATGCTCGTGTTCTGTGTAAAGCGGACATAACTAGAGTGATGGAGTAGTGTAGTGAACATCGTACACCAAGGATAGTGGTAGCGCTACTTCTTTAGCTTTTCAATGTTGATCAACGTTAAATAAATACTGCAGTAGTAACGAAGCATTCTGTCATTCATTTTTGTTACAATAAGTTGTACGCCTCAGACAATACCGTAGTCGATTTTTTCCCACTTTTCTAATTACTTTATGTCATAAGTTCAAGTTATAAAAGGAAAAAGATAACAGCACTCAACGACGATAACATTCCTTTTACGCAATGATAAAGAATACTCATATGAAACCTTATTTGATGAATCATTATTTTGTTTACGTTTCCCTTTCTATTGGTTTTTAATATGGTTGTGACATTTAGTTTCAATCCCATATGTAATGACAGTCAACGTTGAGTTTTTTGTAATTTTTCTCCTTTAAATACTGTGTATTTTATCAAAACTGTCAGTAGTTTCTTGTCGAAATACAATGAGTCTGTCTTTCAAGCCACAAAATGCGAAACTTGCTGCGACAAAGCGAATTATGAGGTATGGAGATATTTTAATGAATGTGTGTATTATTCAAGTTTGCATATGTTTAACATTATTAGAGACTTAAAAGATCTTGACAAAGTTCCAGTACCTGGGTTGGGTGTTTGTTGTCCTGATGAGTCAAATCCTTTTCTTTTACATTGTAACGTATGTATTTAAGTAAACATTTGATCCATATATGATAATAATTGACTTTTTATTTAGGTATTGATTAATGATGGGCCCTATCGTGGAATTATGATACACTTAATTCTTCATATTCCAGAAGATTATCCTTTGACAGGTCCAGCTGGAAATATAGCACCTGGCTTAGAGTTCGATTCTAGGTATCATGCTCATATTCATGAAGACCACAGGTATAATCATACTAGATCTTATGCTTGATAACAGACTTTTTACCTTGACTTTCGACTTACAGAAATGGACATGCTTTATGCAATGATTTACTGACGAACTATGGGTCTCATTTCCGCGCCATAGACGGAGGTACTATCAAACAGGCCACTGGTTGGAGGTAACTAGACAACTTTTAGGCATTGTCTATCCTTGTTTTATCCACTTTTTTTGTACTCTTAGCCCTGGTTATACTTTATCAACTGCCCTTCTGCAAATCGTCACATTTTTCGCAGATCCTGATTTAAGATTCATGCCTTCTTCAGAGAGCATTGATCATCTCCACGATATGGTGAAAAGTTTTAACTGTAGAACATGTGGCCATTCTTATGATAAAGCAAACCCGGCTGTAGTCAGTTATACTGAAATAATGTCAGATAAACACCAAACACAAAAAGAAACTATGTCGAAGAAAGAAGAAGAGCGATTGAAATTGGAACGTGAACGCTTAGAATTAAAACGTGAGCTAATAGAAAGATTAACGTGTGGTGTAACAAAACAAAATGTCATTGAAAATAATATTTGTTTGGGCTATCCGTTATTAATCAAACGTGATAGTTACGGTCGTTTATGGCCTGAACTCATTTTGGAACTTATCTCCTATGATGCATATGTTGCAGAAATACAGAAATCGGGTGGACAAAAATTAGATTTTTATGAACATTCAAGATTCCGTTCTGTTACAGGAAAGGATTACAATCATTGGTTGCCTTTGTATATTAATCCTAAACATTTTCTACAGGGACGAATAATAATTCAAAATGGTATTAGTGTTATTTATAATGGTACTGCTAAGGGTAGTAAAAAATATGATTTCGCTCCACATATGGCATTGAGTGTGTTAACTACTTTAATGAATAAATCAGCTGTCCGACTATTTAATGGTGAAATGTTTGAATCAAAACAAGCGATAGAAGCTTATTGCCATCTTTTACGTTTATTAATGCATTTTATTGATATTTATCCTGAATTAGGTACAATACAAAATATTTATGAACTTATAAAGGAATATCATGGGATTTGTTTTTTTTTTCTTCTTTTTAGAACATAAAATTAATAGAAGTGTGGCAGCTTTCATAACAGGATTACCTGGTCGTAATAAAAAAGTAGTACCTGATATGGGCGAATTTCTTATACAAATCGCATTATCGACAAAATATAATTTTAATGATGTCAAAAGATATGTTTATGAAGAATGCTTTGCACGGCAAATCTATTGGATTCAACGAGACAATGCTATTCAAAACTTGTTAGATATAGAAATCAAAGATTTATCGGAGATATTCCGATCAAGAAAAGTATCATATCATCTGTGGGTATTCAATCAAGAAATGGCTGAAACATTCATTTTTCCAGGTGTAAAAGAGTAAGTATCTTCTTTTGACCCGATCATCTGAAACGTACAATTGATCATCGTCCGTTGGGGTCAAGAATAATGCATTGGTTCTAGCATGAAAACACAAAAAATTGTTGGAACATAGAAGCAGTATTCTGGGCTGAAAAGTCGCCGGATTCTTCCGATGATTTCGGACCGTTTCCAGTGTTTTCTTGCCGGCTACAATGATTTTTCTAGTGGGTTCCAACGAAATCCTATTGTTTTCGGAGTCCGAAGCCATTGACCTGAGGTTACTTACGTTAATAGTTTCGGCTGTAAAAATCGGGAAAAATGGTAGAAACTTCGAAGCGGAACTCTGATAGTCAGATTTTTCTAGTTCTAGACAGAGCCCATCACCCGATTCCTGCTTGCAAGTTTCTATTATTTTTTCAATCAGAATCTGTCCAATGTTTTTGACCTGAGTAGCACACTTTATTTTGCTTTATCGTTAATAATACTCTACATCATACATTTTATTTTAGACGGTTAGATCGTTTATATGGGTTTCCACCAGCAGCTATTGTAGAAAAATTTCAACAACGCTTAAAAGTCATTAAATCAATCGATCGATATAGTGTGCTCATTCAGGCCATCCGACTGAATGCTACGATCAAATCACCGGAAGATATGGTTTGTTTGATAAAACGTTCTGTGGATGTATCAAATCAACAAGGTTATACCAGCATATTATCAATTGAGGAACAACAACGTCGAAGATCGAACGAAGGAAGATGGGATGTACGCAGATGAGGTGAATGAATCACGATAAGAATACTGACTAATCTAGTTTCTAAATATCAGTTAATTTAGATCATTTTCAATTATTTGTTTATCTAAATATCATATCTAGTTCAGATCTATTGTATTGAATAAAATCATATGCTAATAAATGACTAATATAATTACATATGATGATAACCAATAACATAGTTAATTTGTTCTTCACCGTGAATGTTTATTCAGCAATTTTTAATCTATCTGACTTTCGGATGAAATCAACTTAAATTTTTCGTATGAGATTTCGTAATTTACCGTTGAGTATTTCAAGTTTTCCAAAAAACAACCATCAGGTCACATGAGGACCTTTCTTTAAAATAAGATTATTAAGACGCTGAACAAATGATAAGAATCTTAAACAATAATAAATTTGTCCCACATGCAATTCTTCACTAGATATTCAATAAGCATCAAAATTTAAAACAACACATGATAAAATTTGTTGCACGATCGACATCAATATAATCTAATACATCAATAAATTTTAAACTTGCAACAACACAGTGAAAAACGTGTATCGATTTCTCCTCATTGATCACTTATGAAACTTTCATCATTTTGGATGTGGGTGGTGTGGAAGTGGGTTGGGTGTAGTTGTTTATTATTCACCAACACCCACATCCACATCCACACCCTCACTAAAAAATCTGAACTAATACGGATAAATAAAATTATTATAAAACAAAACATAGTAATACAATTCTAGATTACAGAATAGTTTCTAATTTTCTTTTTTATTTTAACAATGAGTAAACCAATACAAAAATTGTAGTTCCACGAACAATTCATACTAATTTACGAAGTTGAATACTACTCCATGATGCTGGTATACAATATGAGATTCCAGTTAGATAGAAAGGGAACATTTATTTTTCCATATAAGGAAAAGCATATATGCTGATATTTTTAATTAACTTACCAAGTGTTAAAACTTAGCCAAGAAACCAATAATTATCTTTTGTTTGCTGATAAACTGATGTACCAGAAACGCTACTTATGACTAATGTTCAGTTTCCTAGATATGTTGATTGTTTATATCATTCAACTGAATGTGGTATGGCATATTCATCAGCAATATGCATAATACATTGTATCTAGAAAATGATGATAAACGATAGACATGTTTTGTTTTTACTTTTTAGCCTGTGTTGTTTTAATGTAAATGCAATAAGTAATGGATGCTAAATGGTACGTAAGGAAGCAAAAGAAATGATTTTTTAGTGAAAAATAAAATATCATGATAGTTTCGAAACATTAATAAAGAAAATACATTAGAGAAACAAACACAAATAAAGTATTTAGAATGTTTACAAGTGTTTATATTTTCAAGTAATTTTATTGGAAAATAAGCACTGTTAAGTTACGTTATGTAATGAAGGTGATCAACGTTTGACTTAAATGTATAATCATTAATTTGATACTAGAAGTAACCGTCTTTCTTGCCAGTACTATTTATTACTTCGATTTTTCGAACTGAGTATAAATGATTAAACTGGAATCTTGCCACTAAGTGAGCATTTACAAGATACAGGCTCCGAAATAAAGGTTATGAAGAAGATAAACTCTTCTTTTTCTATGTAGAACTTTGAGTGTTGTAAATGTTAAAATAGTGCTACTACCAAATGAGAGCTAGAGATAGTTCAGCTGTTCCTCTTAAAGATCTTTCCAGAATATATTTTAATATCTGTGCTAAACATTTCAACTTAACCGCACATAAATTCTAGCTTGATAGTTCATGTTTGGTATTACTGCTGATAACAAAAAAAAGAAGCTTCTCTGTGATTATTATGAAGAAAAAAGAAATTTGTTATAGTAATGTGAAAAAAATTAATTAATTTGGATCGAATAATTATTCTATTATAATCAATTCAATCTTTAATTATTTAAACTTTTTACTGGAATCTATACATTCAATGCCAAAAGGATAAATGTTTTATTAGAAAAGAAGAATCGAGAATGAATGAATATTCTCAAAAATTCTATTAGACTTCATAACTGCTAATCTAAACTTTCCAAGTAATAAAAAATTTTAAAATGTAAACTACATATTTTAATCATTCTCTATTACCGTATAATTCCTAATATATATTTGTATAGTTAGCGTAGCACAGTATGAATCTATACGCGCAATCTTATTTTCTTCTTTTTCAAATTGACAAAAACTGATATTCTTTCTTTTTATTGTCTTTAATAGTAGTGTTCAGATGAAAGCAATTTGTTTTAGATATCAATGAGAATTTTGGCAATCAAATATATCTATAAGAAGAAAATCATCGTATTAATTTGAAGTTTTATCTTACTTGAGTTTTAAAGAATGATTCACGTCACTTTCACATAACTTGCTCCGTTTTCATAAACTGGACTAGAATAAGAGATCAAATGCACATAATAAGTTACCAGATTTACATAGATGCTCTAATCAAAATGCTGTACATATTTCAAAAAAAAATTAACGTTCGTTTGACTACTGTAAATGAGGATGAAAAGAAAAAATAATATTTTTGTCTGATTTAAAAAAAGACGAGAAAACAGAAATAAAATTACATGTATTGTTGTGTACTATACTAACCAAATATTCAATCATGTATTACTAATTATCTGGTAAACACAATATGATTAAAATATGTGGCTTCAATCCGATAAATTGTCTTTGAAGCGAAGACAGAATAAATCATGAACAATTGTACGATAAAAAAAGTAGAATAACTCTAAATCGGTTAAAACACACATATTGGTCTTTTTTCAGTTGCTGATCAAGTTCTATCCAAAATTTCCTGCATCCTACCGATCACATAGATATAAAATACGCTAGAATATGATTATTAATAGCAATAAAAAAATACAAGTTGTCACCAAGTATGAAAAATACATTTTGAACGATCTATTAATGATATTTTGTTCACATTGATGATCAGAACAAAGCGAACTTTCTTCATAACACTATATTGATATATATATATAGAGCAAACTTTTCGAACCAGCTGCTTGAGAAATCGGTGATTAGAATATTGCGAAAATTTCGAATATAGAATATTAGTGTTTCCGTGGCGGTGATAATTGGTGTTTGGAGAGTTCAACTATGCATTCGAATTGATGAACATGAATTCAACCACTCACAGTAATTAGTTCAGAAAGTTTCTTCTAAATGAATTGACATGTTATCATTTTCTACATTTGATCTTGTATAATCTTGTACGATCAGACAAAAATAATCATTGTCTCAGAAATCTGGTGTTAATTCGTATCAAAAGATCCTTAAAAGATCTTTTGTTAGGAATTGATATAAGATTTCTGAGACTACGATTTTTTGTACGATTATGCGTCGTTCTACGAGATCTTGCGTCGGACTTTTCGACGTTGGTAGTAGAATTAATAGTCATACATTCCGATCGGTTTGTATTTATATTATACCTGTGCGAAATCCTCATACCCAGACGCACACCTACCCACCTACACCCTCAGTTTTCCAGTTTTGAACACAAATACATAATATCTTTCTTGATCGAGAAAAATGGATGTGTTTCTCTGCAGCATTCCTACCGAGAAGGACGCAACATGTGTATTTGATGATGGCAAGTTCAAAATCGAAACTCGAATGCAAGTTTCAAGTTTAAAATGCATCTCTTTAAAGATGAGTATTAGTTTGATAGAGAAAGTGCTTTTACATCTATGAGAAAGACGTAAATATGTACATGAAGATGTTTTAGATATGTATTTATGTGCATGTATTACTTCATCGATCGGCTTTTTCATTACGTTTCCATTATTTACAGCGATGTTCTCTGGACGTATACCCGAAAGGTTTAAGAGAGAGCGATAGAAAGTCGATGAGAATTTTCTTTCTTGCATTCATAAAATGTAATTTATAACTTCTTTTTTACTATTTCAATACGCTCTCGCACATTTTCAATACTTGATTGATTAGAAGGTAATGAACGTTGTCGAATGTCAAGCGCACGTTTCAAAATATGAAAGTGCTTTCGAGTACCCAGCCATATTTTGATAGACAAAAGCGATGTTATTGTAGGAAGTAGCCAAATCAGGATGATTTTAGGGAAGAGTTTTTTTCGTCGATCTCAAGTGTTTTTTCTTGAAATGAGAATGCTTTTGAGTATTCTTCCATATTTCTATACGCAACGCTAATGTTGGTGTAGGTAGTACCCAATGAAGGGTGATTTGGAGGAAGAAATTTGTGAAAGATGTCTAGGCCTTTTTCGTAAAACGAAACTGCCGTGAAATACTCTTTCATATTCTTGTACACTGCACCGATGTTGTTATAGGTAGTGACCAAATTAGGATGATTTAAAGGAAGATTCTTTTCGTCGATCTCCAGTGTCTTTTTGGTAAAACGAAAGTGCTTTTGAGTACTCTCCCATGTCGTCATACACTCCACCGATGCTGTTGTAGGAATTGGCTAACGAAGGATGATTTGAAGGAAGACTTATCTATCAGTTGTCAAGTGCTTGTTCGTAATACCAAATAGCTGTCTCATTATCATGTTGATGATGTTTGATGAGTCCAAGATGCTGATAATAAAGTATTTTATAACCTTCGTTAGATGTTTGTTCGAGTAGCATTTTGTACAGTTCTTCTGCTTTGTCAAATTGACATTGTTTGAGTAACAATTTACCCAAGCATCTCCAATCTGTGGTACCTCCAGTCATCTCTGATATATATTTGGTGAGTATTCGAAATTCTTGATCGTCATAAATAGTCAGTTTAAGGCCTACATGATAAAACGGACTTTTATCATCCATTTTTTTAATTTCACAAATACGAAAGACAATGTGCACAGAGAAGAAAATTTCTTCTTCTGTCTAGAAGTAGCTAACCTCATTGATGGAGGCGAACGGAACCGACGTAACAGATGAATCAATAGACATTTCAAAGAGGATACCAACTATATCGGTTCTTCCTAATGTGGCCTTGGCGAAGCCGATGGAAACTTCTCAATTTGTACTGTTGGATAAGAAATTGTTAAAGGACAGAAGTCCATTCTTTGTTTTTAGGAGTTTTTCAAAGTCAGTAGTTGGCAAGCCCAGACCTCGATAGACAGTAAATTGCTTTCCATGGTAACCATCGACCTGTTGTTGATATAGTTGTTCGATTTGACAGTGCAGATCGCCAATAAAAAAAGCCCATAGCTATGATTGTGTCGACTTCCAATGTACGAAGTGCACGATTGAGTAATTGATACGCGAAACATTCACATGTGTACCACCAAATCGATGATGCCAAACGATAGTCATGCTCAAATTCGTTAATAAAAGTTAATTCACTCTTATTTTTTTCGTAAATTTTGCAGCAGTAAATGGCTAAACTCTTAATGGACTTTTCGTTATGTTCCATGTCAAGGAGAATTTCCTTGAATACCTGCGTATACATGAACGAGGGTTCTAGTTTGTTCAGATTTTCACTGGACGTCCCTTCATTTACCGTGACAAAGCTCACATTGATACTGTCGCGATTATACTGCATAGTGTCCATTTGCAGTGCTTTGCAAATTGATCTGATTTCTGCATGTACACCCTTGATTTTCACCCATTCTTTCGCCCATTGTTCATGTCGAGATTTATTATCACAGATGATGTCTATTGTATGTAACTGTGGTATGGCATGAATGTGAAGTACTAGATCTTGACCTAAATACTCTGAAATGATGACAAAAACCTTTTCAACATCGATAGTGTTCAGAAATTTGATACATTCACCTGATTCAGTAAAAACATTGACGTCGCTAACGACTATTTGTAGTTGTATTAACATATTTTGACAATCTTCTTCTGATTAATCAACACTTGCATCCACCCAGACAGCTAGGTAACTTTGAATCATGCGTCGTCTTGGATGGATTGTATCATACGAAGTTGCTATGACGGTCACAACAGCTTTTGATGAAGTGAATGCATTCTGTTTTAATTTTTCTCAGTTCATAGTTTCTTGAATAGTTTGCTGATTGTCAATGTAGTATTGCGAATTAACTGACTGTTGTTTCGAGAAATATCGTCATCTGTCTCTATTTATAGTCAATGCTTTCCTTTTTGACTAAATCTTTGTATTTTTTGTTGGCATTCAAGGATAAACTCTACGTAATTCCAATTGAAAATGTACGTGTGAAGAATAAGAGAGTACGTTTTTACTTTGAACACATGACAGAACAAAAAAAAAGAAAATGTATTGGCAAAAAGTAACCAACGATTTTAACTTATAGAAAAAGAAGACAATGATTGATAGGTGGCTATCACAGATGACATTAATATCTTCAATGTTAAGTTTTAATTATTTTTTTCTTTCATCACATCCAACTACCATCGACGGTAGCCATCTATCAGCCATTTTCTTCTTTTCTCTACGTCAAAATTGTTGATTACATTTTAATCTATATTCTATTTCTACTCTATGATCCATTTTTCTTTTCTAGGCAGAATCAGAATAGTATTCAGATGATCTAATTAGTTGTAGAAATTTATGAAACTTGATCGTTTCTGCATACAGTGTTAGCAAAACATGCAAGGTTTGCACCGATTATTCAATCAGTTTGTGATAATGTAATTGTAAGATATCAGTCATTATGGCTCTAACTTTCGTGAGAAATGATAATTACATAGCAGAATCCTCTTATGAGATTTCTTCAAAATGTGAACCACCGTCAAGTGATTTTAAAATGTTAATTCGAGTTGGATGATGACCATTGTGTTGTATCGATAAAAATGTTTTGAACCACACAAACTTAATAAAACTATTGTTCAACTTTATTTTCTTCTCATAAAGCGAACTGAAATGAAAACTATTCTCTATATTTTTTACAGAATATCTCCACCAAAAAGGTAAAAAGAATAACACTCATTCGATTGTTCTTGCATCCGACAGCAATTTCACGCATAATTGAACATAGAATTTGAACTATAGAAGTAGAATAATCTCTCTCCTTGATAGCAAATCAGTTCCTAGTACACGAAAGAACAATAAGTTGTGTAATCTTGACAGAATTCTTTCAATTATTCTAGCCTGTCTAAAGATAACATAAATCGGTAGCTTCATATAAGATCAATTTTACGTTGGTCGTGAAAAATACCCAGAGAATGATAGATTCGATCAAGAAAATTTTTACATATATGACGAACGTAAAAATTCCAAAACTAAACATATATACAAATTAAATGATGGATGTATATTAAGGTAGCTTTAAAAATAGCGCTTCTTAATTGATAAATTATACAGTGAATATCTAGTATCTATTCAATTATGAGTGTGAGTATTCATGTGACTTACATTCATACCCAAAATTTAACGAAGCAAATTTTTGTTGTTTAATTCATATTATTCATTTCCTGTTTATCAAGACACTCATAATGTTTTTTTTTTAAATTGTTTCTTAAATATTTTCTTATCAAAATGTAGATAGACTGATTAAAGTAAAACGAAATCTTATCGAATGCTATCATCAGCAAAATAAAACAAAATTTTCAATATTTTGACATAATTTAGTTTGTTGTATATTAGTTGATATCGTATTGTCATATGCTTCAACTAGAAATAGACAATGTTATCTCATACACTTCAATCATACAATTAAATACTGATCATTTTACTGATGATTTTTTCGGGTATGGATGTGACTGTGGATATTCATTTCATCTTCTCTCCCTCTCCTTCTCAAATGGAGTGCTGTAATACCTGATGATTTAGTGTGTGTGTGAAGTTAAATGACAAAACTAGGTTTTTAAAATCATCGAATCAAAGATTTATGTAAATTTGTTGAATATTAAAGATATTCTTTGGAGAATAAAGGGCTGATGTGACAATCGCCATATTCGTCAAAAACGATTTTTTTGTCTCGTTCAATCGAAATGGAATTGCTGAATGCAAAATTATCATTTAGTAAAATATTTTTGCTCAGCTCAACTTGAATTTTATTATTCTATTTGAAACTTAAGGAATATATTCTGTCAAATCAAAACATGGTTTTTAAGCCCGATACAGTGAAGACTTTTGATATGTGAGGTCTTTTTTTATCATCGTGTTTGTTTTATTGATTAAATCATCATTGAAAAATTTGTTACACTGCACTTCGAATGAACTAATTTTTCAATCCATCATCAAATTCCATCAATGTAAATACTTCCATGTTAATCGGTATACAAGTTACCGAATACGAAACTGCAAAAAGGAAGCTTTTCTTATTCAAATAAAATTTAATTAAATATTTAAAGTTCAAAAACAGAAAAAAAATCGTTCGTTAAAGTAATTTTATTTTTATCAACACTGTCTATTGATCTGTTTTTCTTAATACAATATTTATTTTCTGTGTCATCCATAACCAATACTCTCAATTTGTGAATCGTAGGTTGCGCGTATGAATATGACTGAAAGAATAAGAACATCCACTCACGTCCAGATCATTGAATTACGAGAATGCAAGAAACATTTGATGCTGATTTGAATATATTAGTCTTAAATCTTCTTTAGAATATATCATGTAGATTTATCTTAAATTGACTCTTATGAATGCAAATGGTTATTCATGATTTGTTGATTAGTCTGATGAAAGATAAAAATAAACCACATTTCTATTACAAATGAGACGAATTAAACGAAGATCGAAAGTGCGTGGGTGTGAGTTAGGTGTAGGCCCATACTCAAATGCACACTCATGCACTCCCACACAGATACCCGACGTCCATCAATACTCGATCACACTCACATTCCGCACCCAAATCGATTTCAATCAAAAAACAAAAGAATCGAAACTATCAAGGCAAGACGTTAGCGCTTCTTTTTCGGTTGATGTCCAAATCGATCGATAATCAATGACGCTTGCAGAGCTATGAATATTTTCAAATTCGGATTTATTTTACGAATACAAAATTATGACGCGGAAGAGAACGGCATGTGTCTCGATTTGTCAGTAATCCGTAGTTGAATATACTCTAGCGCAGTGACTCTCGAGTCTTTTTAGATATTTAATAAATTGACCTCGATGAGCTAGATGCGTCAACATAATAAGTAGACAAACGAGAAGTCCAGATGGAAATTGAGGATAAAGAATGCTAGGAGTTTGAGTGAGCAGAGTGCTTTTACGAGGAAAATATCCCCATTTTCCTAGATAAAACCCAAATAAACTTGGACCGAAAAATTTCAATGAATGGTGTGTATTATCAGTTTCTATTAATTCGATCGACAATTCTTCTATATAATCGGTATAACGAGAACTTCCATATTCACCGATATGTAATTTCAAATCAGCACTCACTCGTGAATGTACTTCATCGAGTCCAATAATAATTAGTTTCACTAAATACTCGTCCGATGTTTCCTTCATTTGAATATAAAATGAATTCGATAAAATGTAATTCAATTTGGAAAACATATCAGGTTTAACTGGTTGATCTTCACGTGTCAAATCTTCCCATAATTGAACAATATCTTCCGCTTTCGTTTGTCTCAATTGAAGTGATGCATCGACTAATTTCTGAAATTCCTCTTGATCGTCATAAATGTTTTCCTCAAGTCTAGTAAAGTAAATTATTCTCCAACTGCGAACATCATCAATTCGAGCCGAAATTTTCCCATAGCGGGATACATACAAATCCCGCCAGAAGAGATCTTGACGTATGATGGCATACCATCGTTTACACACCAATTTCATCGAATAAAAATCGCTAGTATCGGTAATATTATGAAGAATTCTTTGTTGGACTAGTTCAGGTATTTCTGAAAAAAAACGATAATTGTCTATTTGGAATTCTATCAAGGGTTTCGGTGGATTAATCTTTTGTTTGAATTTTTCATGATGAATAGGAAGCCAATTATTAATCACAAAATCGGCTAACCAGAGTGGACCTTGTGTACAAATTTTTTCCAAACCAATGAGAATATCATCACTGATTGCCATTGACATTGCTGTATGATAAATTAATGCTAATTGTTGATCTTTATTTTGTGTGAAAAACTCGTCTCGTTTGATGATTATATCTTTGTGGGTACTAGACGGAGAAATAACGTACTGATCGGTATTATCTGGCCTGTTGCCGTGCACTTTTTCATTGTATTGAACAAATAAATCACACAAGATTCTGTCATTTTCAGTCAATGGATCAGCAACCGTGAGCAATTGTCGATAGTCTGTTGCCGTTTTGACCCATTGATGTGAATAGTAGAGCATGAATTTTTTCAATATTAACAAAAGCTTAGCTGAACCATTTTGTAATGAACTTTTTCTTTTGTTCCACCAGCCACCCTCAAACGTTTCGCTTGTCCAATCTTCCCAATTATTTAAGAGATACGCCGTATAGGATTCAGATGATCGAGGAATAGAAAAATCATAGTTGAAATCACTATCCAAGGTACCATAGACATAGAGATCTAACAAATCATTATCATTTGATATCGGAATGATCATATCAATAGTCTTCACTTCAGTGTCTTTTTTATGTAACCAATCTAATAAAAAATGTGAAGAACAAATAATATCCCAATCAGTATTATTCTCATTTGAACTTCGTCGAAAGTTTGGCAACCAATGTTGAGCAGCCCGCGAACCAATTAGGATAGCATAATTTGATTGAATTTTGAGCGAAACATTCTCTAGAACCGATACAATTTCTGATCGATTCGATATACGATTGATTTGACGATGGTTTGATGATGCATACATTGTCTTTCCTTGATAGAATCTGGGCAAAATAAAAAAGCAAACGGTTATCTGAAATCAGTTCTCTTTCAGATGAGTCTTATTTTTTTTTCTCTAGGTTTTTGCTTTGTCATAGAGACTATGATTATGCGATAGACTTTCGTGCATAATATAAAAGTTGATTTTGATTTAGGTTCGTAGTCTTTGCTTTTATTGTATAGATAACATTCTTTTCATTTTTAAATCGAAGAACATTTCCTTATCATAGAATAACTAAAAGAAAATGTTGCTACACTTGATAGAGAAACAAGTCGATTCTTTCTCGGCTAATTCGAATGACTCAGAAATTGTCCCAAGGTTTTTTTTTGCCTTCTTACTTATTGATCAGTCATAGAAATGATTCCATTATGAAAATAGTTACCTTTTATCAGAAATTTCGTTCAAATGACAAAAGAATAAAATATTGCCTACCGTCAGTAATATGTACAGAAAAGATCTATGAATAGATGGGGAAGAATTTTTACCCTTTATTATGAGAAATCTTATCTTACTTTTACAAGTATTTTAGTGAATCAAGAATAAACATCTATTCGGTAGTTGTTAAAAAATCACAGTGAAAGAAGCATTGGGAATTGAGACGGCATGAAAACACTATATAAGAATTTTGAGACACAGCTCCATGATCAATTATATTCACTTTATAACTCTACATAATAAGTCAATTCTATAAATGACACATGAATATTCCTGCGCGGAGGTTTCATATTAGTCATATTGTATTCGATGGTGTTGAAGTTGTGTAATTACACTACTTTTGTATTGTATATTACGGCGACATCTTATTACTTTTTCACATTTCTTTTCTTCAAAATATTATGATGTCATGATGACGCCAATATTTGCTTGATTTCTTTTGGGAATGTACTAGTGAAATCTACGTGTTTAAGAACAAATCATACACGTCTTCTCTGTTGAACTCGAATAAATTCTTTAGCAATCGCACTGTAGTTAACTGATTGTTCATAGTTTCGAAGTATTTAATATTATGTGACTATTCTATATAGTAGTCCGAATTATCCATTGAGGACTATATACTATTTTACAAAAATGTCGATCACGACATCTTCTTGAAACAAAGATGAACTTCTTATCGATAATTTATATTATTGACTCTCACGTAAAATCTAAGTTGTACGACATAATATTGAAAATGACTGCAATCATCATATCGATACTTGTAAGAAAAACTCTTTAAACATTGAGCTCAAAGCGTACATTTTGGATCACATGATCGTACTTCATAAAAGATGTGAGTGTGAGCGTGTGGTGGGTAGATGTGGGTGTGTAGGCTCGGTGTGGCTGTGGATGCAGATGTGGGAGATAACCTTCTCTTTATCAACACTTACACCCCACACCCACATCCACACCCTAAATTGAAGCGATAAATTGTGTTTAATCACCGATTTTACAAAGCATATCAAGTAGTGACTAGTAATTAAATAAATTTTGAAAGATTCTTTTAATTAATATAGAAATTTAATTTATATACAATTTTTTAACTAAAATTAGAGCAATTCGAAATTAAAAGAAATATTCAATTTTTGATGGATGTCACTCATAGAAACTAAACAAGATTGGTTAATTTTCAGAAACAGACATTCGAGCTGAACTTATAATTTAATTTATTTATCTTCTTGGAAACCTGTTTTTAATAGTACAAAAATTTCATGTCTACTTTCACATCATGTAATTCATCAATCCAAATATATCTATTGTAGATTAGTTTTTACATAAATCATTCGATGGTAAGTTAAAATTAAATTAAAAAAGTTGTGTTGATTGTTTTAGATGAAACTTTTTATTATCTTCTTTATAATCCTGTCTCTTGATAACAACTTTTTATTTGCCTGTTTGACACACTCATTTCATGAAAGAAACCAGAATTATGTATGAAGTAATTTAATATAAAAATGCAACCTCGCGTGTTCACTCGAACATTCGAACTTTCTTTTTGTACTGTCTATTTCTTTTAAAAGTTTTCTCTGAGTGTATTTTAAAACTTAGATGCTATAGTGGTGTTTCATTTATTGAATATTTTATTCATGTAGAACAAGTTAAATATCTTTTTTTTCTAAATAAAATATTCATCAAAATGAGTTCAGTGAAGAAGATTTCTCGGCATAGCAGCAGAATATCGAAGCTGCATGAAAAAAATCAGTTAATTTGTTGATAGAAGAGAGAATAATAATCGGTGATAAAAGCGCGTTTTTTCACAAAAATCGACAGAATAATTGAAAAAAATCGGCGATTATATCGCATTTCAGCTCAAGATTATTGTTTCGCTATGTCATGATTAACTGTCAATATTCTCACTATTTTGAGCATATGGGTACCTATGATTCAATAGTGACTTTAACTGAAATTTCGGATGGAAAGAATAAAACAAGCGATTGAAATTGAATTAAGTTATTTCATTGTTTTCGCTCGCTTTATACTATTTCTTTGAGAAAAATTTTGCTAGTCATTCTCTATGGATTGCGCAAAACCACACGAGTATTGTTGTTAAATATCGCTAATTTTTATTTTATTTGACTTTTATACTTTTATTTCATGCTTTTCATCAATTTCAATCATAGAAAAACATATATAAAGATTATTCTATCATAGAATTTCTTTTCCGTGTTCTTCTATAAGAACTCATTGATACTTCTAATTCTGATACTATGCTATAGCATCATCACGTGTAAAAGACACGTACCACAGAGTATGCATTGGGTACGATTATTGCATTACTTTGTCTAACGTTTCTTTTTTTTGTCATTTCTTCTTCTTCGAATGTATCTTGAGAAACATGAAAGTCGATGAGTAAAAAACTCAGTTATTTTTTTAGATTTTGTTTAATTAAAAAAAATAAATATTATGGCTAGTAATCTTATACGTAACTTCTTAAATGCTTCAAAAGGTAATCGAAAATCTAATTTTGATCATTTATTTTCAAAGATTATTTTTTGAATATTATAGTTGTACAGACAAGTTCTATACATACACTTACTAGTCAACAAAGAAAAAGTCCAATGGATTATGTCAAACAAGGTGTTGATCAGATTGATCAAATCGCTGGAACAGCTACACAAGCAGTTAATAGTGTTATAGCAACTGTTCTTGATACGATTACTGGTAATGATAGTACTGGTATGTTTTATTTTAAAAAATTATTTAGGAAATAAAATAAAAATATCTTGAAAATTTTACAGATCGAAATGTATCTGATGTTCAAGGATCTAGTCAGTTATTTGTTTTTAATTTTTAATTTTCAATTCAATACATTTAATGTCATTTGTTCAGATCAAAGTGCTAGTGGTAACTTCACGAAAACAACTAATGAAGCCATAAGTCGTCCAGCATCTGGGAAATCAAGTACTTATGAAAAAAGCACTGGTGATTTAAACCGACAACCATCTCAACCTTCAGATAGCTATGAAAGAAGTAGGAACTGTTGAGAAATCCCACAATCGTTTTATTTTTGGAACTTCTTCCCTAATGACATGATTTCGACGTTCTAATGGTATTGAATAGATATGGCACAGTTATTTAGTTTTATATATTTATTCTATATTACAGGATTTTGAGAAGTTTCTTCTGTTCCACTAGGTCTAAATATTCACTCATAATGTTTCAAAAAAAAAGAAATCATGCTTTTGTTGGATTTTTCCTAGACTTTTATAATAGTTTAAATCTGCCATCTTCAATGTGACTTTTAACACATATCTGTCCTCATTGATTTGCAATATGATTACTAATCTTTTAGATTGGTCAAGATTGAATTAAATAATATAACTTCTAGCAAAGTTCTTATAGCAAGTATGCGATTCTAACGTCAGAGACTTACCTTATACCAAATTAGTTTTGCATTGAAACTATGTTAATTCAATCAATACTAGAGAGCGATTCAATAGTCTAGAATGACTTAGGTTTCAAGGTTCCTGCACTAAAGAAATGAAACTTTGACTTAATAATTTACAAAAATAATTTTCGTAAAGCGATTAGTTCATTTTGAAAATTTCACTTTTCTTGTTAGAAGCCAGTAATACGGCCGAAAATTTTTCAATGAATAAGTCCCATTGAAAGCATTATGTGTACGAAGTTTCGAGTATAACTCAGTAGGATTACGGAGTTTTTACTGAAACGTACTGAATATCGTTTGAGGTGGGTCTTTCATTTCGTTTTCTCTTTACTTTTTTTTACTTCGAATAAAAAGCTTCAATATTGAAGATACTCTAAAATTGCACGTTTTTTGTAAGATCTACCATAAATCAACAGAACAACGTTTTTGAAAGAAAAAAAATATACTCACTCCTAGCGACGTCTAGCATCTAATTAGAAAATTGAACTTGACTAGGTTTAGTACGTCGGAGAAACGGAGGCATTCCTGCACGTCCTTTTTTTTTTGCATGATAGTCTTAATTACGAAATACAGTTGTACAAAATATCAAGTTAATAGTGACAATAATTTTAGAGAAATCTTCTGGCCTCCTTTTTCCAACTTAAATATAACTACGATTATTTTTCCGAAAAGTCTTCAAATTTTGGAAATCTTCGCTATTCATGACGAGATTGAGTTGTTACTTTTTGTCCAATAGATTGATAGCTGTATGAATGTACAATTTTTTGAATTTTTTCACCTCGTAATGTTGGTAACGTGATTTTCGAAGAGTCTCGTAGTCCATCAGATGCAAATAAAAGTAGAAATAAAGAATCCGACTATCCTGAACAAGCTAAATCGTCTGCAAATCAAACTATTAATAGTACTTGTGAAGGTAAATCGATGTAATGAAAAGTTCGGATAATATACTAAGTTTTTATTGTCAAGATTTATCTATTATTTGATTATTTAGATACCACTAACAAAGCATCTCAATGGGCTACAGATACAGTGAGTGTTTTTAAGGACGAATTTATTTATTGAGAGATATTGTATTGTTTTGTAGAAACAAGTGTTTTCGTTAGATTTAGAACCATCAACTTCAGCTTCTGTTGATAAACGTGGTGATACAATCGATAATATTAAAACTACTGCTGACAGAGTTGCTAAACAAACGAAACACACCTTTGTAAGTTATTAATTTATGTAATTTATTTGTTTGATGTTATTGTTAATGGTAGTAAACAAGTACAACTATGATCTTCACCTTTTTTTTGTCGTATGTCAATGGTTGGTTTTCGAAAAATATGTAATCAAGCAATGATTAGATATAACCTGCTGTTGCTTCGACCGTTTTTTATATCCTTTTTTTGATTTCATTGATTTGTATCTATTTACGCGATTCATCTTCTTTTAGAAGAAAAATAAAAGAGAATATTTGAAAATTTTAATCCTTTATACTCTTCATAACAATTTCAGAAGAGTTAGTGATGAAACTATTTGATATATTTGATAGATACAGTCTCGTGACCATTTCAGAGCAAACAACTGCACAAGAGGGTGTGGGGTGTGAGTGCATGAGTATTGGTGTAGGTTTTGATATTGCCTTCTGGTATATTCGCACCCACATATCTCCCATTCTCAAGATCAAAATATTACATGAAAACTATGTCTCCATTATAGCATGACAATATAATTCACTATTTGCATGGGCACATTGGAGTAAATGTTGAAAACAAGCTCGAACTATATGCTTCAACGAAGTTGATAATCCAGTATCAATAACATACCAACTACGTCCTATTTCTCTTTTATCAGCTCTTGGAAAGGTATATGAACGTCTCTTTCTACTAAGATTTCAAAAATGGTTAAAGAATCACAACATCCTACCATGACAACAATCACATGCATGAGCAAACCAAAGCACAGCATCAATAGTGAACCATCTACTCGAACAGCTAATAAATTCCATTTGTTATAACACTTTCACTTCGGTTCTTTTTTTAGATTTTAAACAAGTCTTTGATATACTTTGGTAATAGAGTCTCTTTTATAGTTAAAGCGTTTAAACTACCCAATGCCATATCTTTTATGGATAATAAAACTATTTCAACGATCGAACAATGATTATAGATTATAATAATCTCTTTTCAAACAGCAACAATATAGTACGAGGAGCTCCACAAGGAAGCTTTTTTAAAAGGATGTGGGTGGGTGTGGATGTGGGTGGTGGGTGTGGGTGTGGGTGTAGGTGTGGGTGTGGGTGTGGGGTGTGCGGTGTGGGTGTGGGTGGGTGTGGATGTAGATATAGATATCATTTTCACCCGCACCCACACCCACACCCTAAGTTCAGTTCATGTGTGAGTCAACTTTCTGAGATGAATTTTCGTATGGACATACTACCGACAATGCGTGTTCTATTGGCGAAAACCGCATGCCAAAAGGCTGTGTTTTGATGAAGTTACATTCAAAACAAAATCGTACGAAAAATGTTGTCCACTACTGCATGTGAACGGTATTCGTTGATCTTTTGTGTAAACGTTTGAGTAGAATGAAAGAAGTTCTAGGCAATGTTTATAAAATTTTTTCAATGCATCTTAAGCCGTATTGATTTATACTATAAGCTTCAAGAATACATTTGATTCAACAGAAACTACCTATGATAGTTGGTGAGGATAGGCCATAGTGAACTATGGAGAGTAATCAAGCTAGCAAATTTTCCTCTTGATGATGTTTTGGAAAACGAAATACTCAGATTTATGCAGTTCAATGCAGTCTATGGTACTGGCATATCCAAAGCAAGATTTTAGGAGGTGGTCGATTTCACTCCTTAGTCGGCGGTGTTCTTTCCATCAATCATGCGTTCATTTTCGATTCATCCAATATTAATGATGAATGTAGATGGATTCTAAGATTGGGATGAGATGCTTTTTGAAAAGCGATTTTTATCACAAAAATCTTTTCGTTGCGTGTGTGCCTTCATCTCTTTGTTAGATGTCGAATCTTGTGCGAAAATCAAGCCATGATTTCTCATGGTATTATTTTCATTCAATTGTTTGTCGATTATTTTCTTGACAATAACGCTTAAGAAATGCCTTACTAATTATTTCTGAGAATTTTATTTAAATATAAATTAAAATTTTTATTTTCCATCGGTAGATATACTTGATGCCTACATTCGAACAATAACTAGAAGCTTATATGTGTAGAGAAACTGATTAATCATGCATCATGTTTATTAGCACTTTATACAACCGTAAATGCTACTGATTGGTAATAGATATCTTCTGTCGGCTGTAAGTGCATGGGAGTTGCTGCTCCAATTACTCGAAGATGAAAGTCAGCATGTGACGACATATATTCGAAGAGAACTTTCATTTCATGTTTTTCATAGGTCGGATAGTTGGTGAGTTCGTCAAAGATTATAATTGACCCAGGTACAAGACGATTACCAAGCAGATAAAAAACATCACGAGCACTGTCATACAAATCAGAATCAATATGGAGATAGGTCACTGGTGGTGAGCAGTGATGATAATGGCGATCAATGTTTTGAAGAAACGAAGGTAAAGTGTCGATAAACCACCCTCGAACCAGTTTAACATTTGTCGGAACATTCGGTACGCTTGTGTTGTGGAAGAAAAAATGACCACGGAGATATTTTGGACGCCAATCGGCAGGGAGACCCTATTAAAACAAGAATTAAAGAGGAAGATAAAAAATATCTACCTGAAACGAATCGAATCCAAATATTGGCTGACTTGAATTTCCACAATATTTCGACTTCCAGCTAGCTGATTTATAAATACTTTCACCTTGAAAGACACCCTAGATTGAAAACAAAACCAATCAACCCTAGTGTAGAACTCATGTTAACAGTTGATCTACGATTACATTGAACGAGTTTCGACTACCAGAGCTTTGTCTGTCAACTTTCAGCATAGTCAATAAAATAAATGAACGACGACAGACAAATCCAAGCTTTCAGTATAGATCTTCTTAATTTCAATAATAATCGAAGAACGAAGCATGTCTCACGAAATACTTCAAGAAGGACAGTGATAATATTCCATTTTCAATCCTATAAAATAGCTCAATTTGCTTGTCTGACATGGTTTTGAGTTTCGAATATCGAGTAGTAAAGAGTAATGTGCTTTTTGGTTTCCTTTGAAAAATTTCATTTGAGAATTATCTATAATTAGTAGGATCTTGTCGAACTGAAAAATAGGCTTTCTGTTTACTGAAACTTAGACAACATACAAACTCTAGCCATAATCCATCGCAGAAAGGATAAGGAATGTCAATAAAAAGTGGACTTGTAAAAAGAGCATTGATCGGTAATTCACCATGGCGGATAAGACGAAGAGCAATACGAGACTGAAGTAGCAATTTAAAGTCAGAATAATTCGAATAATTCCAGCTAGAAATAGTTTCATTCTTGACATTCAAGGAACTATTAGGCAAATGATAGGCACTACTCATATTTGAATCGATAGTTATGTTGGGATGTTGAATAGCGGCACAGACTGGATGATGCATTCTTTGGTTTTCATAAAAAATGTCAAAGAAAGAACGACTTGTTGCAAACTTTTCGACGTTTCTGTATTTATTGTCGGCTATCGACCAAATAGAGAACAGAAGAATTGTGAACATCATGATTGACAAAAGAATGCAGATGAACCGACTCCGAAGCGTTAAAAGAGATCTCAATAGAAGTCTATTTTTTACCAAACTGATGCATCGTCTGGAATCAACGTAGATCAGCGACATGATTGAGCACGATGGCAAACTAGAACGAAAGAAAAACAAGCTATACCGAGAGTACAAAAAAGGACAGTAATGTAAAATCTGAAAGCTGAAGTCAATTATTGCAAACCATTTCAGGTATTTCGAGAGAAACATCGTGTAGATATGTATCCGCGGCAACCACATCCGCAGAGATGCGGTTTATGTGCGTTTCCGCTAACAGCTGAACAGCTGAATATCTGAATGTCAGACGTAAGATATTTAACAACTGAATTGGCTTGCATTTAACTGCTCACCCATGTCATAAAAATCGCATTATTTTTCGCGATTACTCGTGATACTTGAAAAAACCGGCGATTAATCGCGATTGATCGACGATTTTTTCAGCAGCAAATAAAATCGTCGATTTATCGCCAACTATTCGCGATTTTTCAAAGAGTGAAAAAAATCGTTGATTAATCGCGATTAATTAGTGACTTTTCGGATATGACATTAAATCGCCATTAATGGGCGATTTTCCAAACTTCAACAGTAAGTATTATTATATAAAATGAATATTTTTTTCTTCTATTTATATCATCGGATCATCTCAGGGAACAAGAATTATTATTTATTTATTAATAGAAAAACTTTTCTTTCATTCAGATCATCGGATCATCAAAGTAGACACTCATATGACTCGAGACGGACAAAAACTGGCGGTAGACCGTATTGTACCGATCGGTTTAATGTGCGCTATACCGTCAGTTTGTTTTTGAGTGGTGTATCATGGTGCATTGTATGGAAGCGGGAGTGTATTTTTGAGGTTTGTTAAAAACTGACAGATTTGAATCGATTTTGATGCAGTTCAGTTGATGTTGATGGATCCAAACCGCCTGTGATAGCCATAGAGTCCTAATCTCGACCTCAATTCTGAGTGAGATAAGTTTTCATTATAGAAGGCGCTGCAAACGCTTTCATTAGCAAAATATATTCTGAAACTGGTTCTTTTTGTCGATGAATTTGAATACTTTCTAGTACTAAATTCGAATTTGAGTAGAAAATAATCTAAAATTCGTTGTAGTTGAAGCTGAAAGTACTAAGTGCTACCGCTGGTATATCAATATGTACCGCTGATTCTTACGAGTACCGCAAAATAACGATGGTACTGCGAGCAAACGTGCGGCATGAGTGGTAAATATTGCTTTATAGCGTTAACTTTTTTTCTTCCATTTAGATCATGTGATTATTTCAATTAAAAGTAACTATTATTTTATAAAAATATCTTTTTCATATTTTTAGATCGGCTATCCATCAAAATGAATAGTTCGTATTCTTATATGAAAATAGCTTTTTTTGTATTATTTAGATCCTGAAATCATCTCAATGAACAGTAATTATTATTCAATTTACAAAAATCTCTTTTGCGCTATTTACTGCGGATGGGCAGAAATAAATCATCACTCTCATCATTCACCAGACACATGTATGAGCACGATGGTATGCACTTCGAGACGTAGCCATACACACAGATCTGAACACTATAACCATGTCAAGTTATCGAAAATATTGAAGGGTGGTCTATGAATAGCACTACTATAAAAATAATTTAATGCCTACGCATTCGTCGAATTAAATGGCTGAATTTTTTTTAGGGGTAGAGCGTCATTCAAACTTTCTTTTTCATACAGGTAAAGTTAGCAAATATTATTGGTAAGTATTATTTTTCGTATCATGAAAGAAAGTTGAGCTATTATCAAGTAAAAAAATGAATGTGTAGCGTTTCGTAGATAATTTTCAGTTGTTGAACAGAAGAATAATAAGAAAAGTCAAAACGAACTTTATCAATGAATCTAAATTAATGCACATAAAGCAATTTTCTAAAACTAATATCGGCGCCAGAAGTCAGTGCACTCGGATGTTTTTTGAATAACTTTCGATAGGAACAAGTTAGAGACCTTCAGTTTTCAGCATTTGATAGCCAAGACCCAAGAGCTTAATTTCATAAGCAAAATCTTTGCTGAGAAAATATCCAAATATCGGTTCTTCAGCAAATCTTTGGAAAATCACGCTGGATTTCTGAAAACTGTCATATGAGTACATTGATTTTTCTACATATTCGGAATCAGCATCGAAAACTGTGTCGATTCATGTATGTTTTGAATCTTTTCACGAAATTTCTTTTTCGTTGAAAAATTCATTCCTAGCTGCCTGACGCGTAGGTAAAAAAAATGAACTCACTCAAGACGGCGTTTTTATTATTTATTCATTTACCATTTTATGTTCTTCTAGAATTTTAGAGCCTCTAAACCTGCTTTCCATTGTCTAAGTGGCTTTTTGATTGAATTCATTTTTTTTACCTACCTGTCAGGGGGAGAAGGGATGAATTTTACGACGAAAAAAAGTTCGTAAAAAGATTCGAAACTTATATGAATCAACTCAGTTTTCGATGCTGATTCCGAATATGAAAAAAGATCAATGTGCTCCTATGGCAGTTTTCAGAAATCCAGCGTGGTTTTCCAAAGATCCGCTGAAAAGCCGATGTTCGAACTTTTTTTTCTCAGCAAAGATTTCGCTTATGAAATTATGCTCTTGGGTATTGGCTATCAAATGCTGAAAACTGAAGGTCTCTAACTTGTTCCTATCGAAAGTTATTCAAAACACATCCGGGTGCACTGACTTCTGGCGCCGATATTAGTTAGTTTAGAAGCCAACGAATATAAAGCTTTGAATTTTCAAACATGAAACTTTGACTTTTGCAAGAAAGTTGTTGTTTTAATATGCTAAATGCTGCAATTGTGTATTTTATTTATGGGGCATAAATTTTAGGATTTAAACTAACTAGTTTTAGAAAATTGCTTTATGTGCACTAATTCAGATTCATTGATAAAGTTCGTTTTGATTTTTCTTATTATTCTTCTGTTCAACAGCTGAAAATTATCTACGAAACACTACGCATTCATTTTTTTACTTGATAATAGCTCAACTTTCTTTCATGATACGAAAAATAATACTTACCAATAATATTTGCTAACTTTGCGTATATGAAAAAGAAAGTTTGAATGACGCTCTACCCCTAAAAAAATTCAGCCATTTAATTCGACGAATGCGTAGACATTAAATTATTTTTATCATAGTGCTATTTATAGGTCACTCCAGAGGTCCAAACAGGCCACGAGGCCTGCCAGCCTGGCTGGGCCTGCCTACCTGTGACATGCGCAAGCTACGATTTTGAGGCCTGCGCCTGTCACAGGCAGGCCAGGCCGACCCCTAAGACAGACCAGGCAGGCCGGTTGAAAATGACAGGCCGCCTGGCCTGTCTACTTTGTCTTCGAAATCGAAGTTTCATCTGAGAATTTCATGATTTTGTTAGCAAATTGATACAACCTTCATTAGTTTTCAAAAACTCACTTTTAAGCACGGTGAATCAGACAAATACTGCGAACTGAGTATTAAAGATACCTATAGGAAATCAATACCCTTGCCATTCTCAAGAGATGATGAGCACAAATTTTCATAGTTATCATTATCTACTTGTCATGTTTCTCAATTTTAGTTAAATTAATTGATTTGAAATCCCTTTTTCTGTTGCAGATTTACCACTGATTGAATTCTGTTTCTCTTTTGATCCCAATACTTTGAGTGACATTAAGGTCTGGCATGAGAAATTCCATGAAAATATTTTTGAACAAAAATCAGATATCTTCCACATGTTGACTATATCAGTATTGCTTTTATTTTGTCTACTTATCACTAGGGGTGGTACGTTTACGTTAATTTAAAATTAACGTTAACGTATTAGTTAACCGTTAGTATTAACGGTTAACGGTTTTCCTAAAAGCGTTAATTCGTTAATATTAACTGTTAACGTTTTAGTTACCGTTAATATTAACGTTAACGGCTTTTAGTTAACCGTTAATTCATTGTAAATTAACTCATTAACGTATAGACAACAATCATATATCATTTAATTTCGAATTTTTAATGAAAACATCGACGTTCATACAATAACTATCTTCATGGTGTAGATGAGGATGTAAGTTTGAACTACTTTGAAAAAAAATAAAGAAGCGTTGTAGAAACTTTTGTGATTCTGCAGCACATGCAGAACCATTTTATGATTCAACAGTACCTGCAGAACCTTTTTATGGTTCTGTATGAAACTCTGAACCGTAAAAAGTTCTACCCAATAATGTTGAACCAGAAAAAGTTCTGCGTGACAATGCTGGACGAATATAGGTTCTGCTCCATAATGGCGAACTATGAAGGCTTCTCTCCCTAATCATACTGAACCATGAAAGGTTCCGTACGATAATGTCGAACCATAAAAAGTTCTGCGTAATAATGTTGAACCAATAAGGTTCTGCCCGCTAATAGTAAACCATAAAGGTTCTGTGCCCATAAGTGCTGAAGTATCAAAAGTTCCGCCTGCTAACATCGAACCATTAAATGTTTTGTCCATGACAGGCACTCATGAAGGGTTCTGTACTCAATCACGTTGAACCATGTAAGTTTCTGTCCAACAATGCTGACTCATAAAAGGTTCTGCCAAATAATGCTGAACCATAAAAATTTTTCCGACCAGATATAATAAACCATAGAAGTTTTTGCCAGTTGGGCATAACTCTTCATGGTTTCTTACAATGGAGGTGTGTGTATTGTTGAGCGAAAAAGTGGCACATGTTCGGGTCAAATGAAAGCTCTCAACGCCAAACTAACAAGGTTAAA